TTCGCTGTCGCCGTCGACAAAAAGAGGGAGGGGGTGCACTTTCGCTCACATCTTAGGGGGATATATGCTCTGTACCATATCAATAAACTGCTGTCCCTTTTCAGCTATCAAAAACGGACATCTCGGCACCCACCGCGCATGTTCTAACCATGCTACATTTGTCAGAGAACCACCTTCGTCCTCCCAATTACGAAGTTGTCCACCGCAATAAAAACATGTGACGTAGTCACAAAAACCTGAGTAACGACAAATAGTGGTAATAAGATTCATATAAATCAGCTTTTAAAAACGTAATTTAGTATTTTAGTGAAGTTAACGCTGCAGCAATTTAAACAAAACATGAGTTGGCATTATTGTCTGATAGACTTACGAAAAATAGTTTGATATAATACAACAAAATCGGGCATTTTTCAGTAACAGTTGCAACAGCATACATAATAGATACATTTCAGTATACTAATTTTTCTTAAATCTGAAATAGCAGTTTCTGTAACTGGTATCTCACCTGTATAAAAGAAGCCAGCCGCCTGTAACTTGTCAGGTAATTCAGGCAGAAAGAGCGGCCATGTCCCAAAAGTTGCCCGCCGATTACAGATATCAGTGAACTGTGGATAGGCTGGACCAGCAAACAAAGCATCTAAATGACAAAATTGCACGTTGCACAGATCATCATATTTCGATTATAACTGCAAAGCTTAGTTCTTCGGATTGATATATAATACTCAAAATTTAAAACAACGTCTCATATATATATATATATATATATATACCTGGTCTGATCACAGCACACCCACGCTTATCTTCGATATTAATTGGAATGTTGTGATTATTTTTGTCTCTCACAAATGGGCAGGAAGGGTTCTGTTGCGCATGCCACTCGAATGGGCGTCTGAAACCTAGAATAGTCGCTAGATTTCAGACAGTAAAATTATACAAAATTATTTATATCAAATAGATACATGTGTATTACCATTATCAATATTATTTTTGACATGGAATTGGACCACATCCACGTTTTAATTCAAAGGCTCTTCTGACCTTTTAATCCAAAGAGTTGCACATGTGGCAAACTGACGTATACTTCTAAAAATGTGTTTTTCAGAAAAAGAATGGATGATTTCAGGAGGTCATATTTGCTTATTTAATCTAAATGATGTGTAGATAAACAGCAATAAAATAAGTAGTGCCTGCATGGATGAGAAATTAACATGTTTTAGCAGACTAGGGTGTACTGCAAGTGTAACAGCGAAAGGGATTTTTCATTTCCATCATTGAACTTTTTGACATGTAATGATTTGAATGAAAAACAAAATTGATACAATGGGTTTATATTATAAACAATGCTCACCAACTGCAAAATCTTCAACCCGCATGGTGCAACCACCAAATGGACACTGAAGCAGGTGGCGTTGGCCTGTATTACAAAACCCGGCATTTGCTAGCTTTCGTGGATCCACATCGATGTGTGTACGCCATTGTACAAACGTATTTAGACGGTTTTCCTCGTGTATCATTGCTGTGATTCCATGATAGGCAGCTATAGTGAGGTTTTGTGACATGTTGGCTTTATTCCCATAAAAACCAATTAGCACGCCGTGTTCTTTAAGATGACAAAGTTGGCACGCTGAAAAGCATCAAAAATTTTTGATACAAATTTTACACACATATTTGTGCTACATGTAGCAGTGCTAGTATGTTTCTACATAATGCTTCATAAAGATACTTCAACATGAATGGCTACAATGTACCACATCCAATAAGGTCGCCCAAAGAGCAATATTTTTGGATGTCCTAATGTAGTGAGATGTGCGTTTTCCCTTTTTTGTCTTTATTATTTAATTAACTTTATTAACTAAATTATTAAGTTATGTGAAAATAAGCATAATAGATTTCTCACTATAATGTTACAAAAAAAGATATAATAATTATACAATTAGTCATATTATAGTGTATATGTCGTATTATATATCATTTATTGATGATTATGGTAATGGTATCGTATTGGAATTAGGCAATGGAAAGGCTACAAATCCAAATGTTGATGGATACAGTCAATATTCTTTTTTTAAAATATAAAGCATATTTTTAGAAATGCAAACAAGAACAAGGCGAATAAGGGACAACCTGAATAACAACAGGAACTCTTTAAGTGACAGAAAGTTCACAAATACAGCA